AAGTGTGTTCTATAAAATGCATCACAAGACCAAGACGCTGGCAGTCGAGGTTTTCTTCCACTAAGGTGCAAAATCAATTACTTGGGGGGAGAAAAAAAAAAAACGAAAAGAAAAGAAAAATAGATTCATGTAATACAAGGAGAAGGAGACAGCAGCCACAAGTCCACAAAGGAAAAGGTGTCGGCTGCAGTTGCATGGCTCGTTGGCACCTGCGATTTCTCACTCGCCAAAAAAGACAAGACCTCCGCGCGTAATAATAAATAGATGTGATAACTTCAGTGTTGGACCATCGTCTTCAGCCCGCACTTTATTCGACGGCGACTCCAGATTCCTGCGAAGCAATTGGGGCTTCGACTCCCGAGCGAGGAGGCGGAGTCTTAACTTATTAAAAGGAACTTGCTGAGGCTCGGACGGCAGCAAATATGATGATGATGTCTCTGAACAGCAAGCAGGCTTTTGCCATGGCCCACAGCAGCTTGCCCGAACCCAAGTACTCGTTGCATTCCTCCTCTTCATCCACCCTGACTTCCAATGCACCTTCCTCATGCTCGTCCTCCCGACACAGCAACACCATCATCAGCAGCAGCGGCGGCAGCAGCTCGGAGGCGATGCGCCGAGCCTGTCTCCCAACCCCACCGGTACGTATTCTGCATAATCACAGCTTAAAGGCACATTTTGACAGCCCACTTTTTTTTTTGCTTGATGTTTTTTTCATGTCTGCACAGCAAATCACCCAACACCTCCATATTTTTTTTTCCTCTGCTCAACTTATGTATTCAGTCGGCTTTGCCTTTCGTATTAATTTTTATGACCTGGGATGTTGCATGCGTCTTGTTTTGTGCGCTCCTCTTTTTTTTTTTAGGATTTCTTTTTTCACATTCTGGAAATGTTTTAAACCGAGGAGTGGAGGGAGAATTCCCTGCTGACAGCTATGTGTGCATTCTATTTGCAATTGCAGAGCAATATATTCGGAGGCTTGGATGAGAGTTTGTTGGCCCGGGCTGAAGCTCTAGCGGCGGTGGATATAGTCTCGCAGACCAAGAGCCACCACCACCCTCCACATCACAGTCCCTTCAAGCCGGACGCAACCTACCACACCATGAACACGCTCCCCTGCACCTCGTCGTCCTCCTCCTCGGTGCCTATTTCTCATCCCTCCGCCTTGTCCGGCCACCACCATCACCACCACCATCACCACCACCACCAGCCCCACCAGGCACTGGAGGGGGACCTGCTGGACCACATCACCCCGGGACTGGCACTAGGAGCCATGGCTGGGCCGGATGGCTCGGTGGTTTCCACGGCTGCGCACCCTGCCCACATGGCGGGCATGAACCACATGCACCAGGCAGCCATCAACATGGCTCATGCCCACGGGCTACCACCGCACATGGGCATGAACGACGTGGACGCCGATCCCAGGGACTTGGAAGCCTTCGCAGAGAGGTTTAAGCAAAGACGGATCAAACTCGGGGTTACCCAGGCGGATGTAGGGTCAGCTTTAGCCAGCCTGAAGATTCCTGGAGTGGGCTCCCTCAGCCAAAGCACCATTTGCCGATTCGAGTCCCTCACGCTGTCTCACAACAACATGATCGCGTTGAAGCCCATCCTGCAAGCGTGGCTAGAAGAAGCCGAGAAATCACACAGGGAGAAACTTAATAAACCCGAGTTGTTCAACGGTGCGGAGAAAAAGAGGAAGCGCACGTCGATAGCGGCGCCGGAGAAGAGATCACTGGAGGCCTATTTCGCCATCCAGCCGCGTCCCTCCTCGGAGAAAATCGCAGCAATCGCGGAAAAGCTGGACCTGAAAAAGAACGTGGTGCGGGTCTGGTTTTGCAACCAGCGGCAGAAACAGAAACGAATGAAATACTCTGCATGCGTCTGAAAACCGCTTTGAAATCACCACCCACAGAAAAACAGACTTGGAACTGTTTAGAGACGATTTGTATCATATTTCCTATCTCACACCTTTTTTCAATCATCGATGACTTTGTGCTTTGAACTTCGAAAAATTCCTAAAAACTGAACAATGACTGAAAAAAAAAATGACCCCACATGCAGTCACATCTTTTACTCGCTGAGCTGTGGAGTCCAGTAAAGCCTCGTGTGACAGAGCAAGTAAGACCACTGTTTCCACTCTTCACCTTTTTAATGACTTAACAGGACTCTACATATGCTTTCCTTTTTATTTAATGATCCATTTCAGATGAGGACTGTGGTTTTCCTTAGACCCTGATGCAAACAGCATTGTTACTGGGACTATAGTTTAACTCAAAGCACTTGGTTTGGTGACTGCTATTTTTTAGGCTTATAGGATAAGCTACGTTGCCCCCCCTCCCCTCCCCTCCTCCGAGTTCATGACGATGCAGTCTGACATTTATTCAGGGTCCATGAGGGGATTGAGAGAACAACACACGACTAGGTCTTGAGAGCTAATATTAGATTACTGCCAAATAACCCCTCTGTAAATGAATAATTTACCAGTCACACACTTCATGTTGTGTCTAAATGTGTAATTAATTCCACTTATTTTGTTACCATGTGTGTGATCGAAGTCAGGGATATATTTTCGTGATACCTGGGGTTTGGATTGAGGAAGCAGGTTGTTTATTATAAGGCCTCAGTATCGGAAATAATCGAAATAGGGATTCACTTGTAAGGATTTCGTAGATTTCCCATTGAAAAAAAAACAGGATTTCTTGCCGGCTGCAATAAGTTTACAATTCAGCGTGGGCCTGTATCTTATGAACTATTTATTGAGTGAGGTCATGTTTACTTCATTATATATTTATTGGGATTCCCCCCTCCTCGTTTTGCTTGAGAAAATCAAATTCTGACAGCGAGTTAACCGTGTTGTTCTGGTTTTAAAAGGGAAACGACTGCGAAATGTGCAGTCACAAATTTTAATTTCACGATTTCTAACGTTTGAGATGGTACAATCGAGATATATATGAGATAGTATTCTCTTTTGAAATTATTTTATGTATGTTTTCCTGCTATTTATTTGTATAAATAGGCTAAATACGCGCATCATTATTATGAAGTCGTTGCTTGTTAAAATCACCTTGTTTAAGTAATGTTTTTTCTTGAAAAGAAACAGCTTCATGGAAGTATACGTGTACAATGTAAATATTTCATTGGAATCAGTCGATGCACATAAATATATCCGTACAGGTTTTTGCTGTATTGCTGTTTTAGCTGAGGTAACTTATTTCTGTAATGTATGTTGCTTTAGGTTCCTGGTTAAATAATTCTATTAATTTATTACATCCATGTAATTTTAATTTATTTAATTATTGAACTGCAATATGTGTTTCATTAAAGAACAAACTTTAACATTTAATCGGACGTTTTGCATGAATACACTTGTGTAACGTGGCTCATCCAGACTAATATTCTTTTTATTTATTCATCTGTTTATTTATTGATGATGAGGAGGGAAACGGTTTAAGCTGTGGGCTGCAGAGCTTGTAAAATACATTTTATGGATTCTTTAAGGTTATTTTGACAAAAAAAATACTGCAATTAAAAAAAAGAAGGTAACGTGACTTTGCAGATACTAAAAGGTTTCAGGTTTGATCTTAAAAGCAGCCGTGAGCCCTGTCAGAGTGCTCATGAGCAAGACACCACCATGCAACCCCCTCCCCCAACCAATCTGCTCTGCCACTGTCTGGCCAAGAGATGAAGAACTAAGAGGAAAATGTGAAGTGTAACTATAGGCAGCTTTATGTTTGTGCCTTTAACGTGTGACTGCACCAGGCTCCTCCAGGCCTCGCCATATAACGCAGGCCTTGCAAGAGCCCCCTTCTCTCGGTCCCATCAATGTTAAAGACACGTGGCTTCCTCACCGACTTGCTGCCAGCTTATGCAGCTCACTGTTGCCTTACCTGAGAGCAAATGCTAATATTCTATTAGAGTCTAATCAGGGGGTCTGTGGAGAGCTGGATGGGTCCCTGGAGCGCAGCCTTGCCAGATGTCAGCCCGCCAGAAAAACAGCTCGCCTGCCAACGTGCCCGTCTCTATTTAAATACACACTCAAACATGCTCCGTGCATAGACTTGCATGCACGCGGGCTTTGAAGCAAAAAGCTGTGGTTCTAAGTTGCTCACAGGGAGCGAGAGGGTGAAAACAAAGAGGGAGGGAGGCTTTTTCAATGGCCGGGGCAGAGTTGTTAGTTCGGGGGCTTCAGGGGCAGGTGGGGAGCTGAGCAAGCGTTTCAGCACCATGGACAGATACCTGAGCACCAGCCAAACACGAGCATCCCTGAAACCTGAATATTTACAGCTCCTGCAATCCACGTGCTGGGGCTGGTTTTCTAGTTTAGTGTGTGTGAGGGATCATTTAGAATCGATTATAACAGTGCATTTTACCCCAGGTGAATTTGTTATCCGTGCAATACAAAAAAAAACAACATTGAAATACTTAATAATTAGCCATTTAGAGTTTTGACCTTCAACAATTCTGCATGAGTTGATTTAAATTTTTGTCACCCATTCAATTATTATCATGCATTTACAGGCTTTTAAAAAAAGTGTCACATGACCAAAGGGTTGGTTTGATTTCTCCCCAAATACATATGAATGTTTTATTTTTATTCAGTTACTCAATATTCACACACACACACAACCACATGACAAAATTATAAAATTGAGTGCCAACTGTAAAACAACGACTCGATTTCATCAACCCTCAAACCAAACATCTCCCACCGCCATCTTCGTGACAAATTAAGAGAATCAAAACGACCCTTATTAATGGGACAGCCATGATGTTTCATCAATTAAAAGATGCTCCTGGTGAGTGCTTCTAATTTCCCCTAAATGAGCCATTCACTTAATGCGTTAATAAGAGCGAATTATTAAATTACACATCGAATTATGAAAAGCAGATAATTATGAGGAGCGAGTTAAGGAGTCATTAGCCATCCCTGTTAATTACTGCTGGTCAGGGAGGGCTGCCGAGTGAGGGTCTCATCGGGAATTGAAATTAACTTTATGCAGTGGAGCCTCGCTGCTGCTTGACAAGCACAGACAGACAGACAGACAGGGAGCAGACAGACAGTTTAGACTGGTGCTGCTGCTGCCTTCACGTGAACATATTGGAAAAAATCAATCTAGATTCTTTGATAGCGAATCAATGTTGCACCAGCACCAAAAATAAAAAAAAATCCCACATAGAAAAAAAACAAGGCCTGAGCACAAAGAGGAAAATCGAAGGTCTATTTTCTAATATATAATAAATATGTGAAGTTTACCTTAGAGCCACATGTGCAGCCACCATGCTGCACGGGCCCCATACACTGAAACAGAGAAAACACGGTGGGAGCTGTGTACAAAACGAAAAAGGGCAGCGCTGTTTCCTTTTGTTATAATTACGCCCTCTCTTGTTTTATTTTTCTCTCTTTCTCCCCTGAACATTTCCCCCCTTTCACAGGGATACTGATGAAATTTTAATGAAGCCAGGGACCGTCGGAGCTGCGCCTGGGGACGCGGGAGTAGAATATTTTAACTGTACATTTACGCCAAGTGTCTGAATTCAAAGACGCGACTGCTCGAGAATTAGACGAAGTGCACGAGCCATAAATCGAGCAACGCTCCGCCGCCATACATCAGCGCTTTATTTATCATGTGCTGGCTGCAGAGGATGTTGGGCTGCAGCCGTCAGATGCTGCTGCTGCTGTGTGGTGCGGAGCGGCCATCGCCATTTGATACTGTCGCCAATCAGTTGTTGTTGATGCAATATTAATCAGCCATCAATAGTCATTAGTTTGTTAAGTGTTTTCCAGAAACTAATCGATGGGGCAGCGTTGGATGGAGGCGGAGGTTGGTGGTGGGATACTTTATTTGGATCTAGGACCGCGCACACTGCAGCCTCTCCGCCAATGAAACTGCTCCATCCATCTCCCTCTCTCTCTCTCTTTGCTCGCACTCCGGGTGATCATACGCGCGCGCACACGTGTAAGCCACGCGGACACACATCTTCATAAACAGCAGAGTTGATATCAGTTGGACACACGTGCTCATATTATTTTGTCCAAATGCTGGATCTTCGTTTTGATCCATTAAAAACATTTTTTAAATCCGCAAATTTAATTCTGACTAAATTGTTCTTCATCACATTGGAGGACAAATTCAGGAAAAATGAAAGTTGGGAAATGTTCTGTTCCTGATCCAAGTCATGAAACACTATTTTTTATATATATGAATCTGAGGTTGAGGTTGCATCACATAAGATATTTTCTGCAATGTGTTGTTTAAAAAAAAATCAAATGCACTGTGGCCCAGAAACAAGTGAGTTATGAATTTAAGTGAGAAATAGAGAATGATTGTGAGGAAGGCCTGTGCTGTGTTACCTTTATTTTGAAATCTGAGAGCAGAGCTGTGGATGTGTTACACATGCTAGAAGCTGTCTAGACATGCGTAGAGCTCTTGATTAAAAATTCATCAGGACGATGTGTTTAAACACATCACCTTTACTTTAAGTCAATTCATATATTTTTTTATATATCAGAGAAAATAAAGGCAAGGTTTTCTTTTATGTCTAATCTCTGCACTCAATGACATTACATTCAAATACATAAACATAAAAATAAATTAATTAAATAAGCTATATAAAAATGTGAATTAATAATATTCTCAATTTAAGAAAAAAGAAAAACTACAATCTGAAAAAAGTGTCTGTTAAATTTATGCCACTGGAAACGTTCACAGCCTTCATAAGTAAAATAGCTCAGGGGCGTGATTAGAGGGTGGCTGCTGGGAGGCCACAGTCACCCCTTGACATGTGGCTGCCCCCAAAATAATGATTTGGATGCAAAACGATGTTTCGCCTTTTCCTCGGAGCGTTTTCATCTCTTTCATATGTTTGTTCCTAATAGAAACACTAGGCATATGTTTAATTTCTTTAAGATCCTGTATTATAATTCTTGGTTTTGTAGATTGGTGTTAACTGGCCATATACAGTTGATGACAGTTTTGAGAATTCGTGCATTTTATTTTCTAACATGACACTGAATTAATATTGAAATGCTTGTGCTTCAGGGGAATACTGTCTGTACCCAGCCTAATCTGAAGCAATACAATGATCTCCAACATGGAGTTCATGTCGAGATTTAAGAATTAATCTGACTGTGTTCAGTAAATCCAGCCATCTGGAAGCCAGTGGAATTTATCAGTACAGATATTGATAACTAATTAAATCCGCACAGAGAAGACATAACATGTATTTAATTATGATTATTTCTGAACATTGTGAAGTGACCTCTCTACCCCTTCCTAATATGCCATTGTTATTAACTTTCTGCAATACGTCTTCTTACAGCTAGGGGGATTGTGAGGCACATAAGAAAAAGAAAAAGAAGAGGAAAACTTCATTGTTATAGTGAACATGAAGGAAGTATTTTGGTGACATAACTTTATATGTATCGTGAATTTACCCACACGTTTCCAACGAGACAGATGACATGACTCACCTGAAAACAAGGAATTGAGTCAGGTAGCATCTCCAGACTTTTACCACGAATGAAGAAGATGCTGCCCGAGTTCGTAAATACGATCAACACCGCCGAATAATTCATTTTTCACTCTTATCTTAAACTTTTGTTCTTTCTTTGCAAATCCGGTTATATGCAGAGATAATAAAAAAAAAACCTAACAAAATGTAAAAATCAAATGTTCAAAAAAACCTAACCTAGGTGATAGAATCATGTGATTCCATTTACCATAAACATAGATGTAATGAAGCTTTTAAAACCTTGTACTGATAAATAAACAATGGATCACAGCTCAATCAAATATCCCTTCACTCATTCTGTTTCTAACAGTACATGCACATGGGCACACCCCAGCAACTTTGACAACAGAAGCAGATCTTAAGTTGTTAGGTCTTTACAATGTGTTTTAATACGTAAGCTATTAACTAAATGTGTTCATCATTTAATTCCGCCTCACTCGGTAATGTATTATGACCTAATGTGTAAATTGATGGCATCAGAGTGCCTTCAGCTATCAAATATTTAACACCATCTGAAAAATATACACCTTTATAAACAGCCTAGTCTCTTCCTCTCATTTTATTTTCACCTGATCTTCTTTTTGCAGCCATGGAGAGTCAGACATGTTCTCACAGGCTGGTTTGGTGTTCCGAATGAGTAAGTTGTAGACCTTGTAGAGATTGGACCTTAATGAGAAGGTGGTAGAGCTGTCTAGTGGATGTGTGTTCATTGGGCTTTGACAGCCGTGCTCTGTTGCAGATCTATTAATCATACCC